GTTGAGCATAGAACTGGCTAAAACTCAATGTTACGAGTTCGAATGTTTGGGGATAATTATTCACTAACTATCAGCAAGCAGGGATGTCGGATTCGGAAGGAAGTTTAATACTAATACTAATACTAATTTGTCAATGTTGGCGAGTTTAGAAAAAGAAATTTTTTGTGTTGTGCACACCCACTCCGAAGTTTCATGTCGCAGTCGTGCAACAACAGCTATGAAATATACAAAAAAGCGTGATGCACTTGCAAACTTGTGTTTTTTGCCAATCTAAACCTTCTTTTTTTTTGCTGCTCGCCGTCGCCGTTGCAAAAACTCCTTATTGTTGTATATGTGACCCAGAAATTTGCTACCATGGTAACGTGACGTGACACTTCTCCTCTCTGTTCTACTTGGATTGAGTTTTGCTTGGCGCGTTGATCGTGTGAACTTATGTTCATTGAGTACGAAGACGCAAAAAAGAGTTCAGCCTTTACTTCTGTATGACTCACATTTTATTCCCTAGTCAAAACTTAAGATACCAGTTAACAAACAGGAAAAACTGTTTTATTTTTAATGATTCTTGGAAATTCCAGCTTATATTAGTTTCTTCAGTATAGCTCTTCTGCGCTTTCTTGTGTCCGGCCTTTTTTCTTAGTACTCTCTTTGAAATGTTACAGTTTTGCGGGTTTGGTGTCAGATAACCATATATCAGAGGAGCAGTCTCCGCCCGGATATCGCACTTCATGAGCGAGGCATGGACCGCCAGGTTCGTCACCGAAATCCACACAAAAGTCTGGATTCAAGGTCAGACCACCGTTGACTGTGTCAACGTCAACTTGAAGCAACATGGCGCCTTTCCTGGAGAAATAGAGCAAGGCTCAGTTATTTACGCTTTTCTCTAGAACGAAAGAAGCCTGTTCAAAGAGCTTTTATTTTCTCCTTAGAGATCGTCGAACGCGCGTATAAAACCACTGGGGATTTATTGACCGCAAGCGCTTGAGGGTCGGGGCAAAGAAAGGGTGTTCCTTGCTCGCTCTCCCTCGCTTCGTTTACCTTCCGCGTTGTCGAAATTGTCAAAGAAAAAGAAAATCGTCTGTGGTCAGGCTAGAACGAAAGGGTACTAACCTTGCGAAAAACACCTTGGGGGCGAGTATGATTGAAATAAATTGAGACAATGGGTTCCATTAAAAAGGTTGATAATTTCCAGTCCTTGTTACCACGATGGAAAAAGAGGTATTTAAACATTCAACAGGTCCTTTGCGGATGGTCAGTCACGTGCCCTGGTCTGTCACATGCTAGAGAGAAAGAGACGCACTGGGAGAAGACAAACAAAGAAAATTACTACCATTTTAAAAGATATGAGGTCTTTGTTTTTCTTGCGTCAATGCATCTCTCGCTCTCAAGTAGGGCGTTTTGTCCAACGTTGATGACAAGTTGCAAAGGACCTTTTGATTGTTTAAATACCTCTTTTAGAGAAGGCGAGGCGGATGGTGCTAAATGTTCCGCCATGCCCCCCATTCGCGTTCAGGAAGTTTTCGAAGTAATCCATCTTGAGACGCCAATAGAGATAACCAATAATACTTACTTAGAGAGATTGGGGTAGAACTGATTGTCCCATACGCTGTACAGTGAAGTAGTGACATAAAGACGCTTTCCATCTAAACTGAGTTGAATCATCTGTGGACCACCCTCTACTCGCTTGCCCTTCACGTATGCTGGTGCAGGCTGTCCACTCAGTTCAGAGTCTTCAACCACCTTAACTGGACCATCGTTGACAATGCTGCCACCAATAAACAGCTATAAATGATATGAAAATATGGATCATTATACGTTTCTAAGAGACTGTCCACCAACACCTCCCGTAAGCCAACATTAAGACTTCCTTCTCATTTAGGGCAAAATGTTGGCTTAGGGGAGGGGTAGGTGGACAGTTTCTTAGAAACGAATGATAATAATTATTAGTCTCACGACTTAAGGCCATCGTATTTGGCACATTGCATACCAAAAAGGCCTGGGTCATTCTATTACCTTATGGGCTATAACTCCAGCAAAGAAAGTGGAACTGAAACGAAATTTGGTACACAAAAAGACCTCAACGCCCTAAATAATTTAAAATATAACTATCTTTTTAGTGAGTCACGTGATATGTCACGTGTTCATTATTCTACAAATCATAAATCGGCAAATTCTATCTATACAAAAATAAATGTATAAATAATAAACAGTTATAGAGCAGAAACATAAAAGAACAATTCGTCTATTGGCTTATGATTTGTTCTTAATTATAATGCGACTGGTTAGTTAGTTTTTAAGTCTTGTTTGCACAGGAGCGGCTCCTGGTTTGCATCACTGTTTTCAGCATTTTGAACGCCATAATGTTGTTTTTTTTTCCCCACACATGACCGGGTTTACTCATTTACCTCATCATTTAATTTACCTGTCCGACAAGTTTTGGGTGCTTGGGATCAGTGATATCATACTGCCTGAGGTCGCCATGAATCCAGTTGCTGAAATACAGGAACTTATCATCCAGTGAAATAAGGATATCTGTTATCAGACCTAATAAGGGAGTACCAAGTTAATATCAGTGGGGTCCTGTCAGGTTAATATTTAGATAGATTAGCAAGTTATTTCTCTCGACACATAAAAAAAAAGAATGAGGCCGACGTCCACCAACCACCTTAGTCATTACAAGTTTGTTTTTGCGGGAAGGAGTCAGGTAATTCAAGTAGGGGAAGACGCTCCATCGCGCTCGGCTGGTGGAGATCGCTTCCTCAGAAACGTGAGTTAGTTAACCCCCCCCCCTGTCTCTTGGGGGGTACTCCCCCTATAATGGCCTACACAGAGAGGCTCTGCCTGAAAGTGGTACCTTTTTCAGACTTCAGGTTATAAAAAGGTAGCGATTTCATTTGCAGACGTTAATGAAAGGGTAGAGAAATCTGTCATTTCGGTTGATAAAAAGGCCCAAAAGGGCTCACAGATGTATTTTATGGCTGTGAAAAATCGAGAAAACGTTCTGGTTTTGTGATTTATTCATATTTTAAAGAATGTGCATTTACTACAGTTGTTATATAAAAGGGTAAGGAGTTAGACCTCGGTACGGAGCCTCCCAGTACAAATCTTTGTTGAGTGCTCCCCCTCTCCCTTATCCCCGGGTTCCGTCTTTGCGAAATCACTTTGTATAAATCAATGTACTAACTCTCGCATTCCTTACCAGGCATTTCCGGTAGAGCCCAGCCTTCAACCTTCTTGGCTGGAACGCTGATCACTGTTTCTGCACTCCAAGAGTCCATCTGAAATACAAGAACCGTTTGATACTTTGAACACTAATCACAACAGAATTATACATAAAGTGGATAATGCATTGGATGCGAGTGGGTGGAAATTATAACGTAAATTCTTATCGGGTAGTTTAGTGGAACATTATTACCTTGGAAATTCGATGGGTTACATTCACAACCCCACATTAACATATATTCTATGACATGACATGTATGGCTTGTTTTGTAACTACAGAAAATCTATTGTTTAGTAACAATATTAAGGAGAGAAGGCCTCGTCACCGACGTGGATTCTACCACAGTATGCTAACGTTAACAATAAGAATAATGTACACGGGCTCTTTAATTATACCGACTATTGTTATTCTAATGAACTCCTTGGAAGATACTTCACATCAAGAAAAAGACTAGCAAAGCCGCGGGGAAGTTAACAAAAAATAACATTTGCGAAAAAAACCTTTAAAAAATCGGGATCTCCGTCAAAACTTACCTTGAGAAACTCAGAACAGCTGTGGAATGATTGCGCTGTTTGTGTCCGCATGTGTTTATTGTTTGCTTTCTATTCGAGTCCTTGCTGGATGTTACTAAAACGGAGAACGGGGAGCGGGGAGCGGAAACAAGCAAGGGGAACGGGAAATGAAGAGACGGGATCAAAGAATAGAATTGAAAATGAAGTTACTAATAGGGCTAGGGTTCAAGTTGGGTTTTGTTCGCATTTTTCATTTTCCCGTCATCGCATACGTCCTTACGTTTTGGAAGAATCTGACAATGGTACTGCTTAGAGCGCATCCAGTGAATCCCTGCGGCTGGTCAGGGTTGTGCAGGAACCTGATCTCCAGGGGAATGGTACCAACTCCCAAGTCAATAGTCTGCTTCAAAGTGCGTTTGGTCCAGTCCCACACGTGCAGGCGCGAACCATACAGCCCTAAAAAGATTCATAATAGGTTATGTATGCTTGTGACTCCGACCAGTACCGGCGTAAAAGAGGGAGCTTACTCTGAACCAAATTGAACGGACGCTTTTAGTTTTAAAATGCTTCAGGCTGGGAGCCGAAATCGTACTTCTTGACTGAACATTTAGCCACAGAACGCTCTCAACTAGGATGAATTTTTAGCCCGGTTAGTCGTCCATGTTTAATCGGAAAAGGAAAAGATTCAAAAGAGGATATTTATTAAGAACACGCTCCCAAGTCTGCTGTTTGTGTAAATTCGTAACACGAAAAGACAGATTCGACGGGTCTCCGAGGATGTGTTAAAAATTGCCGGCCATTTCTTAGGTTGAACGAAAGACTGGGTGTGTTTTGGGCCGAATTGGTCCATGGGACTGTTATGGCGTCGCTATCGCTTCTTTCATTGGCTATTAAGATGTTTTGCAGGAGAATGGGTCAAAATTCGTAGTCCCATAGTGCAATTTCGACAAACACCAACCAAAATGTCCAATAAGAGTGAGGTAATTGCGAAAAACCAAAGGGACAATTTTCAAGCGAACTAAAACAAAAAGGTATTATTTTAACTCATTTTCCATATACACCATGGCATAACTTGTAAACTTTAACAATAAGAACATAAAAAAAGAAAAGGAAAAATTTTGAACGTGTAGCAGACTATTTGGCAGATTTCTTAGTCGTCATCGCACGACTAACGTTGTCTAACGTGATCGGAATAGGAATGCCATCGTCGCTTTTTAATATTTAAGATCCTCATCTCATCAATTTCGTCGTAAATACCCATAGAGAGTCTCACAGCTGTAGTTTCATTGAACTTATAAAGAACGTTTTTGAAAAACAAAACAGAAACATTTTATTAATCTTTTTTAGTTGTGGCGAATACATCCTCGATTTAGCCATATCTTCTGATCATTGTTCTGATAGAGTTACTCAGACTATCGAAGTCAGTAGAGGATTCTATCTTATTTGTCTTTATACACATCCCCAGGTGACCCCCCCAGATGCATTTTTTGCCCTCTGAGTGTTCTTGCTTTCTGATAGGGTCTGATAGATAGGTTTGCTAGTTATGTGCAAAGTAAAAATTTCAAGTATAACTTACACCGTTTAAGAGATAAGTTAAACCTCCAAGTT